GGCCACACCCACAGAATCAGAACCAGACATTCAAGTCCCACCCTTGCCTCTGTGTGTGTGTGTGTGAGAGAGAGAGAGAGAGAGAGAGAGAGAGGTTAGGTCAGATCTATCTCTTTCTCTCTCTCCCACCAACGTCAGCAAGCCACCATCAGTCAAAATTCTTATTAGTGGTCCCCGGGATTTAAAATTATGAGTTTGGTGGTCCCTGAGGTCCAAAAGATTGGTGACCCCTGATTTAAATCAATGAAATAAACACTGGGACTCTAAGTTTGATTTTAGAGTAGATAAAAAAAATCAAAAATTTGAAGTGGATCGAAGGAGATCCAAATTGCAAGCTTTTGAATTCTTACAATTTGACAGGAATCGAATCCTTGTCCTTTTTTAGCCCTAGTTCAACATCATATTGAATCTGGTTAACAAGAGATTGGTGTGTTGTGAGAACCCTAAATAAGGTAGTTGTCCATCAAGTGAACTTGATCCCCCAAATGATCCCATATTCTATAGAATTAAACCACAGTTTTCTGAACGGGGAGATTTCTAGATAGGTGGGCTTTCAGAATTTCCCAGCCAGCAGAAGCACCACACATCTTAAAATTGGCTAAGGGTGAAAAAATGCTGGGTCTGACTGACTTGACTTAGGAATGTGGTGAAAACACAAAATCTAGCCAATTGTTTCTCTCAGGGGAATCAAAAAGAGCTACGCAGAAACTGCAGTTGAAAAAAAAACCTGGCCAATGACAAAGAATTGAGATGGGTAGCAATGTTTTGGCAGGCATTTCCCTGGAGAAGATGGGTAGGTATTTGATATTCCCCAAATGACAAATTTTTGATCATGTTAGTTAATTAACAGAATTAACCGATTTGGAAAGGACCTTGGTGGTCTTCTAGTCCAACTCCCTGTCCTAAACAGCGGTCCCCCAACCGTTCTGGTTTTGTGGACTGGTTGCGGTGGCGGCGGCACCGGAGACGGGATGGTTCCAGAAGGAACATGCACAAGTGCAAATGGAGTTTCACGTGATTCCCTCATTTCCCTGCTGTTTGCACGGCCCATTTTCCAATAGGCTCCGACAGATACTGGGCCACAGCCCAGGGGTTGGAGGTCCCTGCCCTCACTATTTTAGACAAATAGCAATAGCATTTAGACTTATATACCACTTTATAGTGCTTTACAGCCCAGTTTTACAGAGTCAGCCTATTTCCCCCAACAATCTGGGTCCTCATTTTACCGACCTTGGAAGGATGGAAGGCTGAGTCAACTTTGAGTCTGGTGGGATTCGAACTGCCAAATTGCAGGCAGCCGATAGTCAGCAAAAGTGGCCTGCAGTATGACACTCTAACCACTGCGCCACCAAGGCCCTATTATTGTCGAATCTCTTCTTAATGGTGGAAATGCTAATTGCTGAAATGCACTGTGCAAATTATTTAGAGGCAGGAACTGGGTATATCTAGTCTAACAAAGAGAAGGACTAGAGATATCATGATAGCAGTCTTCCAATATTTCAGGGGCTGGCCCAAAGAAGAGGCGGTTGACCTGTTTTCCAAAGCACCTAAAGGCAGGACAAGAAGTAATGGATGGAAACTAAATCTCAAATTAAGGAGAAATTTCCTGACAGTGAGAAGAATTAATCAGTGGAATGGCTTGCCTTGCATTGTGGGTCTTCCAGAGTTGGAGAATTTAAGAAGAGATTGGATAGTCATTTGTCTGAAATGGTATAGGGTCACCTACATGACTAGGGAGGGTTGGACTAGAAGGCCTTAAAGTTCCCTTCCAAATCTGTTATTTTGTATTCTGTATTCTATTCTGTATAAAAAATAGGAAGACAGAGGTAAGAGGTCAGGTGAAAGCCATCATCATGAGTAAGCTTCATGCAATTTACTCATGAGAATGATCTCTATCACCCCACTTAAAAGCTCTATTTACAGATGTTTGCAGATGACATCTAACTCTGCCTTATACTTCTGTCTGTGTAATTAAAAGGGGCAATTAAAATAAGCCAGAGATTTGAAAATTTAGTAGAACAGGGGTGCCCAGCCTTGGCAGGGGTGTCCAACCTTTAAGATTTGGTAAATTCTGCATACATTGGCTAGGCAATTCTGAGAGTGGGAGTCCACAAGTCTTAAAGTTGCCAAGGTTGGACACCCCCTTCAGTAGAGTGTTTACTATACGGTTGTCAAACTTTTTCTTGATATTTTCAATTGCATCCGCTGATCACAAAGAGAATGCAAAATAGACCAAATATCAGTTAGGTTAAATGGACTATATATATAGTGTTGCTACATATCCACAATACAAATGGGTTGCTAGTGTCAACACAGCCTGAAAGGATATGAAATTGCTTATACAAAAAAGACATACAAAATATTTTTAAAATCCTTTTCCTCTTCTCACTGACAAAGCAAGAAATCAGACCAGCTTTGCCAACTGCTGGGATGATTTTGTACCATCTGGAAACATTTATTTTTTTTAAACGAACAAGACTTGGTCTGCTGTTCAAGAAGGAGAGAGAGTGACTGCATCCTGCCTTCTTCTGAAAATTTATCCAGGGACTACCAGAAACTACTTTCATTTCTAAATTGCTTTCCAGGAAGGGATGGGATGTAGTTAACCAAGCACTGAGATAATGGTAGGTCTTTAAGAAAGTCAGAACAGAGGGTGGACTTTCAATATGGTTAAAATATAGGATCAGGGTGGAGAAATCCAGGTTCAATCCCACAAACTATTATAGAAACTCTATAATGACTTTAGGCAGGATCCTCTCTCAAGCCCACGAGCCTGTGGAATGTAGTAGAGCAGATATTGGACAACGAATGGGAGATCTGAATTATGCTTCCTCTTGTAGAAAGCTAGGAAGATAACTTTGGAGAAGCGACACAACAGAAGCACGCTTTAAGGCCAGTAGAGAAAATCTGAAGAAGGTAAGACTTGCTTCTCCCAATTCACTAGAACAGTGTCTCTCAACCTTGGCAACTTGAAGAAGTGAGAACCAGCTCCCAGAATTTCCCAGCCAGCACTGTTGGCTGGGGAATTCTGAGAGCTGAATTCTGCACATCTTCATATTGCCACGCTTGAGGAAACACTGCAATAGAGCATTAGAAGGAAGGCAAGAAAAGCTCAGTCAGCTTTTTCAAGATTTGCCTACCATCACCTACATCCATAAAGTGTACTTTTAGCTAGACTTTTGAAGTCTGTTTCCTGTTCTGGTCTACCTTAACAGATAACAGATAATCAGAGTTGAAAGGGACCTTGTAGGTCATCTAGTCCAACCCCCTGCCCAAGCAGGAGACCCTACACCATTAAAAGCTGACAACCTCTTTAGCCAAGTAAATTCTTTGGGTGTAATGAAGATAAGCCTGGCCCTGGAAATAGGTGAACAAACCATGAGGGTAGGAGAAGGTTCAGAAAAGACCACTCAGAATCTCAAGGGAGCAGAAAGAAACTCAAAATAGCTCGGCCTTGAGTTTGCTTGGGATAAGATGTAGTGAAGAGAAACTCTGACGGGATCTCAAGGTTCAGTTATAATGCCTACAAGAATAACAGCAGCAGTAGCATTTAGACTTATATATACCGCTCCATAGTGTTTTACAGCACTCTCTGGGAGGTTTGCAATGTCAGCCTATTGCCCGCAATAATCTAGGTCCTCATTTTACCAACCTCCGAAGGATGGACGGCTGAGTCAACCTTGAGCTGATTAGGATTGAACTCCTGGCAGTGGGCAGAGTTTGCCTGCAATACATTCTAACCACTACACCACCAGGGCTCCTAACAATAAAAGACATTTTTGAACTTCCTGTTACTGACATTTCCTACAGAAGCAGATGGTGAAGATATAAAGATGCCGAACTAGCTTTTAACTTAATTAATTAATTAAGTGTGTGTGTGTGTATGTTTTCTTAAGTTTTCACGGGTATTTATATGTATGGTATTCAGCTTTGTTCGGGTATTTCCCATGTCATTATAGTTGTGCTTTTAAACATTGCTACAACTTTAAAAGCACAACTATAATGACGTGGGGAAATACCTGAACAAAGCTGAATACCATATATATATATATAGCAGTGAACATTCATAATATTCCTTTTCCTCCTCTTTTTCTGTATAATAATCCTGTGAGGTGAGTTGGGATAAGAGAGAGGGATTGGCCCACTCGACTGGCTTTCATGCCTGAGGCGGTGACTAGAATGCACAGTCTCTTGGTGATTGGCTGTCTTGGTGAGTTTACAACTCAGAGCCTAGTGTGAAGCCAGCACCTTAATCTCTACAGCCGTGGTTCTCAACCTGTAGATCGTGAACCCCTGGGAGCCACGATGTCATTGCAGGGAGTCCACAAACGCTTGAAGAAGTGCTGTGGTTTAAATCTTAAGTCTTGGAGATCTGTGGCCACAGAACATATTTAAAGTGGTGGGATTCAAATTTTTTACTACCCGTTCTGTGGGCGTGGTTTGGTGGGTGTGACTTGGTGAGCGTGGCAGGGGAAGGATACTGCAAAATCCCCATTCCCTTCCTACCCCACTAACCTGCTTTCCAGCTCCGTTCTCCTGTGCAGGGCAACCAAAGAAGACCAAGTCGATCAGCTGGGACTAGAGAGGCAGGGAATAGATGGGGGTGGGGCCAGTCAAAGGGGGTATTTGCCAGTTGTCCGAACTACTCAAAATTTCCACTACCGGTTCTCCAGAACTGGTCAGAACCGGTTGAATACCACCTCTGATCTTGGAGAACGTCCATCTCTATAGTTGCTGAGGGTCAATATTGACTAGATGGTCCATAATCAATTTATATCTCAGAGCCAAAGGATAAATGAAGGGTAAATGGTAAAGAAAAGGTTAAGAACCCCAAACTGAGCCTCTAGGTGTGGGGGAGGCTAGGGTAGGGGCCTTCTCTCTCAGCTCAACCTATTTCAAAGGGCTATTGTTGTGGCAAGCACAACAGGAGGGTGTGGCTTTCAAAGCATAAATAGAACACACAAGTAAACAAACATATGATGGCATCAGTTGGAACTTACATATTCCAGCATGGTATTTCAAAGCACTGACAGTGTGTTTATGAGCCTTGTAGGTCCTTATCCTCTCTCCAGTGTCAGCTAACCAACACTTCACTGTTTTGTCCGTGCTACCTGAATACAAGCATCGATTGACAAGCTGGGAGTCAGACAAAAGAAAGAACAGAAAGTTAGCGAAGAAAGAGCACTGGAAGTCACCGTTACCTTTCACCTGGTTTTTTCTTCATACACTGAAGGAGATACAAACAGTGACAGCAACGCTAAAAGTGTAACATAGACCTCTGAAAGTACGTTCTGTATGGAATCAAGACCTTCAAAAGAGCTCTAAAATTAGATAGGAGAGATTTTGATCAATATTCGTGTAAGATGAAGCTGGTCTTTAAAGCTAGTGAAGCAATGCTCCGTAGGACCCATGGATTTATTTGGCCCAAATAATATTTTTGTTAATTGCATTTGATTAAATTTACAGTGTACAGTTCCAGGGTCACGAAGACATCATCTGAAAAATTCTTCAGTCCACAACCCATGTGAGGAATGAATTCTGTAGACAGACCTCACATTCCCTCCCAATTATATCAGCCAAAGATTCCTAAGTATGTGCATAGTCCTTCTTTTCTATCGTAAAACTGAATTTACACTTGGCTAGCTTCAGCAAGCCCTCCGTATTGAGTGCCATCAAAAATGAACAAATTAACAGAGTTGGAAGGGATTTTGTAGGTCATCTAGTCTAACCCCTCTCACCCACCCAAGCAGGAGACCCTACACTATTTCCGACAGATGGCAGTCTAATCTCTTCTTGAAAGCTTCCAGTGATGAAGCTCCCACAATGAGGAAGATTTGTTCAGACATTAACAAAAATTTGGGTTAAAGCAAATTCAATTACTTTTTAGATTTTTCCCACCAGTTATCTGTAGCAGTTTGTGCACATTGCTTGGAATATTTTCAAATGCTCCACTGAATTATTGTCATCATTACTATTGCCTGTTTTTACTCAAAGATGCAAATGGGAAGATACAATGATATGTTATATGATGTTGAAAAGACATCTAGACAGTCCCAGCATCGAACATACATAATATGATGACCCAAAGGGGCGTGGCACAAAGGTAATACAATCAAATAAACAAGAAGTGTCCCTTTGATACCTCCAACTTTGCCCCCAATGTCCAGGTTACCCTCGGCTGGAGAAAAAACTCTCCCAAGAACAGTCTTTAAGTGGAGGAAATTCAATCCGAAAACAAAGTACATACAAACTGTAAATAAAAATCCACACAAACCATGCTGCAGCAATTAACTGGACAGGGCAGGAGAAGGAATTGCAGACGTGAAAGCCCAGCAAAACACACACAGCTGGGAAGACACTAGGAACCCAGATAAGCCTCGACGATACCAGATAATTCATGATTTTCTCCCAACAACTTTGCTATGCGCAGCTTCCCTTTTTAAACATTGTGTTTCCAACTGCAGCTAATGAAGGGAATCAGGGCCCTTTCCTCCCCCATTAGCCATGCAACTCATGTTGCTCCCTTCTCCATTCCTCCCTGTGTGCCCTAGGATGAAGAGGGGGTTGGCCTGGGTCTTCCTCCAAATTTCCTCTCCCTTGCTCTACCTCTTCCCTGCTCTGCCCAGCCTTTGCCCTTCCCCAGTTTCTTCCATAGCCAATGCAGCCACATTCCCACTTCCTGTCAGCTTCTCGGCCTCCCCCTCCGAATCAGATTCCAACAGGGGCATGACATGCGAAGGCTGAGTGACTTTAAAAATATTAGAGAAGAATCGGGCCAATGATCTTCTATTAGCACAGTGTTTCTCAACCTTGACCGTGGACTTCAAGTCCCAGAAACCCCCAGCAAGCATGCTGGCTGCAAAATTCTGGGAGTTGAATTCTATACGTTCAAACTGCAAAACTTAAGAAACATTATATATTAGTGAGTTTGAAAAACACTGGCACATCTGAAATAAGAGGTGAAATAAGCACCCTGGTGGCACAGTAGTTAGAATGCGGTATTGCAGGCAAATTCTGCCCATTGCCAGGAGTTCTGGCTCAAGGTTAACTCAGCCTTCCATCCTTCCAAGGTTGGTAAAATGAGAACCCAGATTGTTGAGGGCAATAAGCTGACTCTGTAAACCACTTAGAGAGGATTGTAAAGCATTATGAAGCGTTATATAAGTTTAAGTGCTAGTGCTAGTGCTAAAACTATCTCCACTTGTTGCACTTCTAATATAAAATATTTCTGAATGGACCAGGAACAGCAATTCAATTCAGACTAAAAAGTTTGAAGCAAACTTATCTACAAATATTTACTTAATAACATTCAAAGATAAAAATATAGGATCCGTTACAAATCCTTAGGACATTGTATATTCCACCATCAAGATCTACATTTTCAATTTATTCTACCAACATTTGTATATTGAAAATCTTCCCTCCTAGGCAATGCTTCTCAACTTCGGTAGCTTTAAGACATGCAGACTTCAATTCCCAGAATTCCACTCATTCAAGAATGCTGATTGAGGAATTCTGGGAGTTGCAGTTTGTACTTCCTAAAACTGCCAAGATTGAAAATCACTGCTCTGCAGAAATCTTGCCTCACCTGGGTAAATACTTGATTAATATTCTTGTTCACAAAGCTTCCATGTGTTGCAAATTCATCACTATATTCTCAAGAATTTCTTGATGGAGTGAATGCTTCTAAAAGTGATCCATTATTTTTTTAAAAAATTAAAAATGTCCATGCAATCTCCCACAACATTCATTTGGCTAATGGAATGGAAAAATATCAGAGCCTCAGGCTCAAGGTATCCTATATCACCAGACACATACCAAGTATATTACAAGAAAACCTATGCGGGTCCTTTACTGTGTTTATGTCAAAATAAAATAAAGTGGTCAATCAAGAAAAACATGCTTTGTTTTTTCTCTTTCATTAGAAAGACAGATGTGCTTTTCATCAACAAAAACAAGGATTGATTTTCTAAGATTTGGAAGGGACAGGAGAAGTGGTAGTCAGAGAAAGAATCTTTTTAACAATAGTTTTTTCCAAATATAGATAGTCCTCGACTTACAACAGTTTATTTAATGACAGTTTGAAGTTACAACAACACTGAGAAAGGTGACATGACTGTTTTTGACACTTATGACTGTTGCAGCATCCCGTGGTCAAAATCCAGACCTTGTCAATTAACTCGTATTTATGACAGTTGCAGGCATCCTGGGGACATATAATCATCTTTTGTGACCTTCTGACAAGCAAAGTCAATGAGGAGCCGATTCACTTAACAATCATGTTGCTAACTTAACAACTGCAGAGATTCATTTAACAACTGTAGCAAGAAAAGTCATAAAATGGGGCAAAACTCAGTTAAGAAATGTCTCATTTAGTAATATGAATTTTGGCTGTAAGTCAAGGGCTACCCTGTTTCCCCCAAAATAAGACCTATCCCGAAAATAAATCCTAGCATGTTTTTACATGTGCTCCTAAAATAAACCCTACCCCCAAAATAAGCCCTACTTAAGGGCCTGCGCAGATGGCCTCCCTCCCATTTCATCTAGTTGCTCGAAGTGCCGAGGCCATGAGGCAAGGCAATGGAGAATGGAGCTGCCCCACATGTCCTGCACTGGCTTACCTCTGAGCGCCCACAGTTGGGCCCTCCACCTCCGGACACATGCCTTGCAGTGGCAGCACCAGCAACCATGTGCAGTAGGAGCCCCCATGGCTGCTGGCCCACTTCTTCTTGCAGCCGCAGTGGACCAGAGGGCTGAGTGGTGTGCTGGTGCTGCAGCCGTGAGGCAAGGCAGGTGTCGGGGCATGGATGGCCTGGCTGTGGGGACCTGGCTGTGAGGTAAGCCCATGTGGGGCGTGTGCTATTAGGGGTGGAAAGATCAGCTTGATAGCACATAATCAATCAATGGTTTTGACTCTAGGTAGCATTATTCTAAGTGAAAAAAGAACCAAAGAATACAAAATTATATAAGCAGAAAAGAAATAGCAAATGTTAAATATATCACTAATCTCCATGCATTGTTTCTGGTACAAACATCCAGGTTTTCAAAACATTTGGAATTCAGCAGTGACGCACCATGCAGCCTCTTGCCCTGCCACAAGCAAGCAGAAGAAATCAGCCTCCCTTACATGAAAACAAAATAAGATGCACACATCCCAAAATAAGCCCTAGTGCATATTTTGGGCCGAAAAGAAAATAAGACCTGAGGAAACACGGGGTGCCTAAATATTCAGCTTTAAGTTTAATAGAGAGACACAATTCCAACTTATAAATGTGAAGATGGCTTAGTTGGTCTCCTCAGCTGTCTTTGAAAAAGATTATATTTGCTCTGTTGGAGCATGACACAGTTCATAGAAAGCAAGAACAATTGGACGGAGAGCAAGTCTTGATAAAAGACCAAAATATTCCTGGAAAAATATTTTGCAGAAACATCAAAGAAACATGGAACACTGCAGATTCTCAGAAAAATTCATTTTTATTTAAGTGTTTATTTATTGAAATTATTTATATAGTAATCTGTCTTCTAACCAAATGCTTCCTTCACACCCACTAGCAGAAAACAATTTTCTGTCTTTAGAGTGATCAATTGCTGTAATAATCACTCTGTCAAGATTCATGGATTCTTTCCCCCAAAACTATCCATAGTTCTATGGGCAGCAATCCAGCCAACTACTTTTCTAGGTTCAGGTAGTCCTCAAATTACAACCATTACTTAGTGACCATTCAAAATTTAAGTGAAAAAAATAACCAATAACCAGTTATCACACTAGTGACTGTTACAGTGCCTCTGTGGTCACATGATCAGAATTTGGGCTCTGGACAACTGGCATGTATTTATGATGGTTGAAGGGTTCTGGGGTTAGCTGATTTCCATTTGCCACTTCCTATCTGGCTTCTGATAAGCAAAGTCAATGAGGGAACCTGAATTTATTTAATGACCATGTGCTTCACTTAATGACCACCTCAGTTAACAATGGAAATTCTGGTCCCAATTGTGATTGTAAGTTGAAAACTACCTGTACCAAAGCATTACCATTTCTTAATTACCTTACATAGATATTAAACACTTCCCTTGGAGTCTATGATTTGGCTTCAGTGAAGATATTATTGTTCAACCAAGAAATAATAAAAATACAAAGAAATAAAAGGACACACTGTCCAATCAGTTGCTCTTACTTTTGCTCCCCAGAAATTCTTCAAGTTTTGCTACTCGTGAGTATCCATCTCCAATACTACTTCCTCACATGTAACACCTTTCTAAAGCATGGTTCTCATAAATCATGGTTTCTTGAATATACCACAATATTTGGGTCCACAGATTACAGTTAGTAACCATAGGTGAGAAACCACAATAGCTGAGCTTTTCTAATGACATGATTCAAACCCCTTCACCTTATGGAGAACAGCAGTCAGTCAGTTTTCTTCTATTCACCATGGGATATGTTGGATTGTGAGATAGAGATAGAGATAGATGATAGATTAGAGATAGATGGATAGGTGGAGAGAGAGAGAGAGAGAGAGAAAAGAAAGAAAGAAAGAGATACAGTAGATAGATAAACAGACATAAATAGATAGATATTAGGGTGATGTTGTTTTGTTAAAAATCCTTTTCCAACTCTGTATGCCCAGCTTTTCTTATGTTCCTTCTTCAAACAAGCTCCCTCTCCTGTATTTATCCCTTCCCAAAAGTATCAGTTGCACAAATGCTGCAACCCCCTTTGGAAAAAAGGCAACCTTTCTTACCTCTAGGCAAATGATGGATCCTTGGTGCTCTTTGAAGACTCTCAACTGTTCCCCTGTCACAATGTTCCAGGTCCGAATGGTGTAATCAGTGCTTCCCGAAAAGAGCTCCCTGTTTGGAGCATCAAGTATAAGGCACAAGACAGCCCCAGTGTGTCCCAGCAGGGTCTGGTGGCAGCGCCCAGTGGACACCCACCAGACCTTGACTGTGCAGTCTGTGCTCCCCGTCACCAGAAAGTCTTGGCTTAGCTCTTCCACCTCTTCTATCTCCTCCTCCATCTCTTCCTCTTCGAGGACATCCTTCGAGGAGTAGAGTGCCAAGGCCAGGACACAGTTGCGATGGCCCCGGAACTCTTGGATCGGTTTTTCCTTATCCACACTCCAGCAACGTGCAGTCCTGTCGTAGGATCCACTGAAGAGGTAATCCTTGGAAACTAGGATCCTGTTGGGAGGAAAAAAAGCCGCTCACCAAACTTCTCAACCCGGCTGAACAAAGTAACATGGAGGAAATAGTTTCCATTGGTGCAGAAATTTCACTTCGAAGGTTAAACTTGTGAAGAAGGCCCAGAAGAAGAGGCTGTCCTTTCTGACAATGCTCAGGAAGATAAATCTATCTCAGCATCTACTTCTGTCCTACTACCGCAGCACCATTGAGATTGTCCTGACATACGGCATTCTTGTATGGTACGGGAGCAGCTCTGTAGCGGACAGAAAAGCTCTACAGAGAATCATTAAAACTGCCCAGAATATCATTGGGCTCCAATTACCAGTCCTGGATGACATCTTTGCATCTCGCTGTTTGAGGAAGTTGCACAACATTCTCAGAGACCCTTCCCATCCTGCTTACAATCTTTGTGAACTGTTTATGAACCTTCTGGCAGAAGATACAGAACAATTAAAACTCGAACCACACATTTTCTGAATAGTTTTTATCCCAGAGCTATAATTGCACTTAACAATGAACTTAAGGAACACCATCAATGAGCTGTTGGACAGTATTACTTGATCTGTTGTGTGGATGCTTATGTATGTTTATGGGGTGGGGAATTTTGGCGGGTGGGGTGTGTGTTTGGGGATTGTCATGTGTGTGTGTATGTTGAGTCTGGTCTCTGGGTGTTATGTGAATTTTGTTGTATGTATACTGTGTATATACATACAATGACAATAAAGAATTCAATTCAATTAAGCTTTTCCACTATAACAGTCCCTCAACTGATGATCAGAATTCCCATTGTTAAGCAAGGCCATTGTTATATGAATTGCACCCAATTTTATGACCCTTTTTGCCACGGTTATTAAGTGAACCACATGGTTGTTAAAAAAATCTGCCTTCCACTATTGACTTTGCTAGTTGGAAGCTTCCTGAGAAGGTTGCAAATGATGATTACATGACCCTGGGATGCCACAATCATCATAAATCAATGCCAAGCACCCAAATTTTGATCATGTGACTGGAGGGATGCTGTGACAGTTGTCAGTGTAAGTCACTTTTTCAGTGTCGTCGGAACTTTAAATGGTTGCTCAACAAACGGTTGTAAGCCAAGGATTCCCTGTAGCATAAATTCTATTTTCCCACTGACAAGAATACCACAAACCAATGGCTGTAGGTTTCCCCTAATTTGTTCAACTTTCTGTAGGATCTGTTTACAGTAGATTCTTACTGATGATTATCCAAATTCAGTATATTTAGGCTTTCAGCTTTAGGCATGTGGTTTTCCCTCTCTAGCTTTGTAATGTGGGATGCAGAAATAATTCCTCCAGAGAAATATAGATTTTTTTTTGTACTTCCAAAATTAATGGAACAAAATATGTGTTATGTCTGGGAGGATGGGCGTAATAACGGAGACGAGACCTCGGATAGTAACTTCAACTCTTTAATAGTGACTTCAGATCAGAGCAATGAGCCTGGCAGCAGCAGCTCCTTTTATAGAGCTGGCTGCTGCCGAAGCGTCCAATGACAACGATTTAAGCTTGCCGCGCTTGGAGTGTCCAATCGCGGCAGCCCGTTAACCAGCCAATCGGATCAGCCCGGAGCGACCAATCACGACTCGCTGTTGACGGACCAATCAGGTTTGCAGGATTACGAGCCTGCTAGTCCGGAACACCCCTCCCCTCTAGGTTCCATCTCAGGGGTGGGGTGATGTATTCTCGCAGGTAGGCGGATCTTCGCACCTGTCTACCTGATTTGCGTTGTTCAAAATGTCTTTGCTCGGTTTCTGGTTCTGATGGACTGCTTACCGAGCTTGTCTGTAGTTGTGACCTGGCTTCTACGCTGGGTATTCTTGGAGGTGATCCGGAGATACCCGCAACGCTTCCTTCACTCCTGTCGTCTGGGTTCTCCGGATTCGCTGACCCTGTTCGGCTGCTGCTACCTGGAGAGACGACCATCTGCCAAGGTTCTTCCTCAGTCGGTGAATATAGTGGGCTTTGCTGTGCTGGTTGTGGGGTTATGTTTTCTGAGCCAGATGTTGGTTCAATTTCAAAACCCTCGGTTTCCCTTCCCCCTCTCGCTTTGAGATCGGGGTTTGTGATGGGGGTTGTGGTCAACCTTGAGCGCAGCTGGTCGATGTGGCGTTTCCACAGTCTCCCATCTGTGGTTTCTAAACGGTAGGAACGGGGGCCTGTAATTTGCGTTATTTTGGCAGGGATCCACAATGGGTCACCTGAAAAGTTCTTTGCAAATACGGGGTCTCCTACCTTAAACGTACGGTGTTTACTGCTGGAACCCAGGGGCTTTTCCGGGGTGTATGCAGGATGTAGGCGGTCTAGGTGCGATCTGAGTTTTCTGCCCATCAGGAGCTCAGCTGGGCTTTTGTTTGTGGTGCTGTTTGGTGTAATATGCTGAAGAAGGAGCATCCTGGTGACTTTGTCGTGGATGTTTCCTTGTTCCATTTTTTGTAAAGTTTTTTTGGTGAACTGAACCATTCGTTCAGCCCTGCCATTGGCCGCTGGGTGAGCAGGTGATGTCAAGGCGTGGCGTATTCCCCGGTCTGCTAGGTATTGTTCAAAGGCCAAGGCGGTAAATTGTGGCCCATTGTCGGAAACCAAGACATCTGGTAGCCCGTGCGTTGCAAACAGTCTGTTCAATTTCTTGATGACTGCCTCTGTAGTGGTAGTCTTCATCTTGTTAACCTCAAGCCAGTTCGAGTAGGCGTCTACTGTTATTAGAAAAGTATGCCCTTTTGTAGGTCCCGCGAAATCGATGTGGATGCGGGACCATGGACCCCTGGGCGTTTCCCATTCAGCTGGTGATGCTTTTGGCGGGGCCGAGCGTGTTTCTTGGCATTTGCTACAGGTGGCAACCCAGGCTTCAATTTGTTTGTCCATACCTGGCCACCAGGCGTAGCTCCTTGCCAGCGCTTTCATTCGTACGATGCCCAGGTGTCCATCATGTAGTAAATTTAGAACTTTCTTTTGTAGTTTCACTGGTATGACCACTTGGTCTCCCCACAACATGCACCCTTTTTGGGAGAACAGTTCTGTTTGTCTGTTTTTGAAAGGTTTAAAGGTGTCGTTGGGTTCGATTTCTGGCCATCCCCTCTCCACCCAGCTGAGAACCCGTGCCAAACATGAGTCTCTTTTTGTTTCCAATGCGATGTCTTGTGCGGTTAGTGGAGGTGAGGGAAGCGTCTCGATTTGCAGTGTTGATAGTGTGGGAGCTGGGTCATCTAGGAACTCTGGCAGTGGAGAACGGCTCAAAGCGTCTGCATGGGGGATGGTTTTCCCTGGTCGGTGTCTCAACTGGTAGTCGTAGGCGGCTAAGAACTCCAACCATCATGTCATCCTTGGAGATAGGATGTGTGGAGTTAGTTTGTCCCCTGCCAAGATGCCAAGTAATGGCTTATGATCTGTGATGATGGAAAAGGATCTTCCATACACGTATTCGTGGAACCTTTTGATCGCAGATACAATAGCGAGGGCTTCTTTATCTAGGTGACTATAGTTTCTCTCTGTTTTAGACAAAGTTCTAGAAAAAAATGCAATAGGCGCCTCTGTACCATTTGGTAGGACGTGGCTCAGGATGGCTCCTACCCCAAAAGGTGAGTCGTCACAAGTCACAGTCAATGGAAGTGTCTCATTATATTGGATGAGTACTGCATCTGAAGTTAAAAGGTCTTTTACTTGTTGGAAAGCCTGCTCCTCCCGACGTCCCCAAAACCAGGAAGCCTTCTTGTCGAGGAGCCTATGCAGGGGTTCAGCAATGGTTGCCTTCTGGGGTAGGAAGATGTTATAAAAGTTAATGAGTCCCAGGAAGGCTTGGAGGTCTGTTTTGTTCTTTGGTCTTGGGGCATTTTTAATAGCAGCCAATTTCTTTTCAGTAGGGTGAATTCCTTGTTGTCAAGAAGGTAACCAAGAAATTCAACCCTCTCAGTGCATAACTGGCACTTTTCCTTCTTAACCTTGAGGCCTGCGTCTTTGTAGAACAGTTCTCAGGCGTTTTTCTAACTGACTTCTTGTAGGGGCGGCTATCAATACGTCATCGAAGTAGGGCACGACCCCTTTTATGCCCTGCAACATCCTTTCCATCAAACTTTGGAAAATGCCAGGTGCTATGCTTACTCCAAACTGGAGTCTGTTACATTTGAACGCACCCCTGTGCGTAACTATGGTTTGGGCTTCTGCGGTTTCTGTTTCTACTGGCAGCTGTTGATAAGCTTGGGCTAGGTCAAGCTTTGCGAATACTTTTCCGCCCCCAAGTGAATGAAGGAGATGTTGGACCACGGGTACTGGATAGGCGCTCTGCTGTAACGCGTGGTTGAGGGTAGCCTTGTAATCCCCACAGATTCTCAAACATCCGTCAGGTTTTATGGGAGTTACAATTGGGGTCTCCCATCGGGCGTGGTCGATGGGTTCTAACACGCCTTGTGCTATTAATTTGTCCAATTGCTCGTCAATTTTTGGTTTGAGAGCAAAGGGAACTCGGCGTGGCTTTAGGCGAATGGGTGCGATATCAGGGCAGAGATTAAACGAGATGGGGGAACCTTTGTACTTGCCTAATTGTTCAGTGAAGACTTCTTGAAAGTCATGGACGAGGGCCGCCTCCCAGTCTTCGTCTACAGTCTGGTTGATGCCTGCCATTTCGATTCCTAATGGCACGAACCACTGAAGACCCAATAAGCTGGGCCGGTCTCTGTCAACGATGGTGAGGGGTAGTATTGCGGTGTGGTCCTTAAAGGAGACCTGGATGTGACTGGAACCAACAACCGGAATTCGATTTCCCTGGTAGTCCTTTAATATAAGTCTCTGGGTGCTGAGATCCTGGCGGCGGATGTCAGGGATCAGCTGCTTGAGTGTTTTCCAGGAGACCATGGATAGGGAAGACCCGGAGTCCACTTCCATGATGCATGGACGATTTTCAATGGTGACCTTTACCCAGATTTTTTTTGCGTCTAATGATGAAGCGTGGCCGATGGTGATGGTCTGATGTGCCTCTTCCCGTCTGGTTACACCAGTAAACATCTGGTTTCTGTTGTACTGGCTCCACTGGTTGTTTGGGCGGTCCCGATTTGTTGGTGGGGTGCCTGCTGCTTGTCGGAAGTTATTTTCTTTTCTCTTGGGGCTGGATCCTCTTTTGTTCCGGCACACTTTAGCAATGTGGCCCCTTTTCTCACAGGAACGACAGATGGCATCTAGGAACCTGCATTCTGATCGTGGGTGGTTCCCCCCACATCTGGCGCATTGGAAATTGGATTTACGACCCCGCTGGTCTCGCTGCTCGCGCTCTGACCTGAGTCTGTTGACTTCTTCCTCCTCGCTATCCGATGAGGAATCTATGTCTTCATGGTGGGCGGATGATGTGTATTTTTCTGATGATATTGCCGTGTCGCTGGTGGGTTGGCGGCTGGCCCCATTCGCTCGGTGCATTCGGGCTGCTGATTTGCGGGTGGCTTCCGCTGCAGTGGCATCTGTTATGGCATCTGCGAGGGTGATGTCTCCCTTTGCCATAATCTTGCTCTGGACAGTGGGGTCTCTTAGGTCAAGGACAATCCGATCTCTCATGGCTTCTTCTAGATTTGTGAAGCCACACAGTCCACCCAAATTTCTTAGGTCAGCTACAAAGTCCCCGATGTTCTCACTTTCGCGTTGGTCCCTCTGGTAAAATTCGTGTCTTCTAATAAGGGTAGGAACTGCTGGAGCGTAATGGGCACGAAGGATGGGAGCAAGGGTATTCCAGTCCATCGTTTTGACTTCAGCTGGTTTGGCAAGTGCCTTTGCCATTCTGAAAACGGCGGATCCGCAATGCGTTAGGAAAACCACACGTTTTTTGCTAGACGTGGCATCCTTCAGATTGTTAGATTCCAGGAACATTTGAAACCTGTCCATATACGAGTCCCAGTCTTCGCTGGCTGGATCAAACGGGGTGGGTGGTATAGCGCTGCTGGCCATTCTGCCGATTCTGTGCGCCTTCAGCCACGTGCTCTGTCAATATTCTGCGAGTGCTCAGTCAGCTCTATCGTCTCCGCATCCCATCCTCGTCGCCAGTGTTATGTCTGGGAGGACGGGCGTAATAACGGAGATGAGACCTCGGATAGTAACTTCAACTCTTTAATAGTGACCAGATCAGAGCAATGAGCCTGGCAGCAGCAGCTCCTTTTATAGAGCTGGCTGCTGCCGAAGCATCCAATGACAACGATTTAAGCTTGCCGCGCTTGGAGTGTCCAATCGCGGCAGCCCGTTAACCAGCCAATCGGATCAGCCCGGAGCGACCAATCACGACTCGCTGTTGACGGACCAATCAGGTTTGCAGGATTACGAGCCTGCTAGTCCGGAACAATATGCCCATCCAAAATTCTCAAAATTACCAACAGTGGTTCTAGGCAGGCAATGTTTACTCATCAGAGGTCTACGGTAAACTGATTTCTGTACAGTCTTTTGTGAATCAGTTAGAGCATTTGATATTTCAAAGCAAATTTCATTAAGATTAAAGTGTGTTGGTAATTACCTGTGCCATCTGCATGTTGCCCTTCCAAAACATGGAAGTAAAGGAAGGAGAAATGGACAATCCGCCCTCAGGCCTTCCTATATACAGGTACTCCTCAAAATTCGTCAGCTGAGGACTACTTGAAAAATGGGGCACAAAATGCGATGCTTCAATCATTTTAGGAGCATTCTGTGCTCAGCAAGAAAGCTTGAAACTGTTTGTTTCATTTTTAGAACTGGCCCACAAAGTGGGAATGTTTCAAATCTAAAACATGCTGAATTAAACATGTTTAATACACCACTTTGGGAGAATGGCCAGAAAACCACTGATGAGGGGTAGAAATTAGGGCAGGTGCTAGCCCTCATTCAGCTGCTACTTCTTCAGATCTTATAGTGTAGAGACTGGAACAGAGAGAGCAAGTCTAGGAAATGTAAAATAATCACCCTTAATTTGTACCTATTCACGATGGATGTGTGTCCACGATAAATAGCGAGGCATCTTCCGGTCATCACATCCCATTTTCTGATAGTGTGATCCGCACTGCAGGTGAAAGCAACTTCGTTTTCTAAGTGGCAAAATGTGATGTAGCTTTCATGGCCTAGAATGAATGAACGAACAGACAGACAGACAGATCAATCCTATTGCTATTTTCAATGGTGGAGAATGTATGTAGGGTTAAACTGTTGGGTTTTGCAACATGCTAATTAACACAACAATGAAACATCTGCAGGAAAACAACCAAGCACTATAAAATGTCTTCACGTTTAAAAACTTATAGACGATTTCCAGTATATCCAGTGTTTCTCAACCATGGCCAGTTTAAGATGGGTGGACTTCAACTCCCAGAATTACTCCCAGCCAGATAATTCTTGGCTAGAGAATTCTGGGAGTTGAAGTCCTCCTCTCTTAAAGTGGCCAAGGTTGAGAAACACTGATTATAGAGTGAAAAATTGGGGTGGGATAATAGATTCCTCCCGCCGCAACCTCACTCCAATTTAAATTCTACTTCATGATTTTAGTCAGAAAAAGCTTCAGATTGTTTGCCGCCATAGCCTAACAAGGGCTCTCTGCCAGCAATGTCTATTTTAAAAGCAGGAGAACCAAAGACTATCACGCTTCTGTACTGAAGATCACCCCAACAGGCAGAATCATGAGATATAGCAGGGAGAAAAGAGCATTAAATGCGAGGGCACGTGAACAAAAGCCTAAAGCAGCCACACTGCACTGCCCAAGTGTTTCTATGATGTCATTGACCTAGCTATATGGCATCCATACTTAGATGTTTATTCCACCTTTATTACTTTATAAATAACTAAAAGGCAGCAAAACATTCACAATACTCCTTCCTCTTCCTCTTTTTACCAAAATAACAACCCTGTGAGGTGGGTTGGGCTGAGAGAAAGCTGGCTTTCATGCCTAAGATAGGACTAGAACTCACAGTCTCCTAGCGATTGGCCTAATATCACCCAGCTGGCTTTCATGCCTAGGGTGGGATTAGAACTCACAGTTGCCTAATCTTTGGCCTAAAGTCACCCAGCTGGCTTTCATGCCTAGGGTGGGATTAGAACTCACAGTTGCCTAATCTTTGGCCTAAAGTCACCCAGTTGGCTTTCATGCTTAAGGTGGGACTAGAACTCACAGTCTCCTAGTGATTGGTCCAAAGTCACCTTGCTTTCATGACTAAAATGAAAAAAATCTTCTGGTTTCTAGGCCAGAATCAATCCCCAAACCAAACTCTCTCTCCATATCCATCTTTTCCATACATCTGTGCAATTTGGAAGAATTTAGGTGCCGGAGGTAGATGGATTTGATTAGAGCTAGTTCTCAAGTTACAACCACAATTGATCCCAAAATTTCCATTGGTTTTGACCCATTTTGTGACCTTTTTTTGCCATAGTTGTCATGTGAATCAGTTCAGTTATTACATAAGTAACACAATTGTTAAGTGAATCTGGCTTCCCCACTGACTTTGCTTGTCAGAAGATCATAAAAGGCGATCACATGACCCCAGTTCAATTGCCAAACACCAGACTTTTAGTCATGTGATGAACGGAGATATCGCAATAGTCGTACCTGTGAAAAATAGCCAAGCCACTTTTTTCAGTGACCTTTGAACAGTCATTAAATGTATGGTTGTAAGTTCAGGACTACCTGTGTAACAACAATGGGTGCACTGTTGGGACACCTGAACAGCCAGGCTGGGGATAGATCGTTTTGGAGAAGATCGTCAAGAGTCAACATCAACTTCCTGGCACATTAGTCAATCAGCTGACTGCAAAGACCCAGCTCCCCTATATTGATTTATATAGCGAAATCTATAATATTGGACAAGATGGGAAGAAAGAGAAGAGGATGACCAGAAAGCAACATGGATGGATTAAATTCCAACAGAAATGGATCCACCATTGGAAGTTCTGAAGAACCAGGTTGGAGATAGCTCACTATGGAGCAGTAGTGGGATTCAATTTTTTTACCTACCAGTTCTGTGGGCATGGCTTGGTGGGTGTGGCAGGGGAAGAATATTGTAAAATCCCCATTCCCTCCCCACCCCACTAATCTGCTTTCCAGATCCATTCTCCTGTGCAGAGCAACCAAAGAAGACCTAGCCAATCAGCCGGGCTCGGGAGGCAGCAAATAGATGGGATGGGGCCAGTCAGAGGTGGGATTTGCTGGGTCTCTGAACTACTCAAAATTTCCACTACCTGTCCTCCATAACTGATCAGGGCTTGTTGAATATCACCTCTGATCTTGGAGAACGTCCATCTTTATGGTTGCTGAGGGTCAATATTGACTAGATGGTCCGTAATCAATTTATATCTCAAAACCAAAGGATAAATTTTGGACCGAAGATCTCTAAAGTCCCTTCCAACTCTGTCATTCTGCAATTGGCCTACCTTGAAAGTGGGTCTGGCACTGGTTGTTGGCAGTGCTCCAGAGTCGTGCTGTCCCATCTTCACTGCCTGTTAATAGCCACTGCCCATCTGGACTCAGGCTGATCCAGTTGATGCCCCCTCGGTGATCAGTGCAAATTTTGAGGGCTGAAGAACTGCTCCCCATTCTGCCACAAGGCAGGAGCTGGGATGGGGACATCCATCAAGTCCAGGTCATCTTAAGAGCAGGAGAAAGCCTTACAAAAACAAATGGTATCAAATCCAATTAAGCCATCTTTTGGGGTAAGGAATCAGCAAAGAGCCTCTGCTTTCTGTTATGAATGCATAAAATTAGTCATACCCCTGTTGGAATCTGACTTCGAGGGGGAGGCCTAGAAGCTGACAGAGAGTGGGAGTGTGGCTCCGTTGGCTGTGGAAGAAACGGGGGAAAGGCAAAGGCCAGATGGGCAAAGCAGGGGAGAGGTAGAGCAAGGGAGAGGGAATTTGGAGGAAGACCCAGGCATACCCCCTCTTCATTCTAGGGCATTGAGGGAAGAACGGAGAAGGGAACAATGTGAGTTGAGTGGCTTATGGGGGAAGAAAGGGTCCTGATTCCCTTCATTAGCTGCAGCTGGGAACACAGTGTTTAAAAAGAGAAGCTGTGCACAGCAAAGTTGTTGGGAGCAAATCGTGAATTATCTGGTATCATCGAGGCTTATCTGGGTTCCTGGCGTCTTCCCAACATCCAATAATGTGTGAGGCACCCTGATCATAAACCAATATCTGAAGTAAGGAAAGGAATGGTAGGATTTTGATTAAAAGTTTATACAGATATTTTTCAAGTTATAATGGTAGTTGAGCCTGGAAATTAAAGTCGTGATAGCCATAAAATGAGTCACCAACTACTACTCCCTTTTTTGCAGCAGTCATTAAACAAACCCACTGTCCCCATTGAGAGTTTTTTTCTGGGAACCGGAAGTAAATGCCAGTTTCCAACAAAATTGTCATAAATCACAGTCATGTGTTGTGAGCTGTTGCAAAAGGCCATAAATGTGGGTCAGTTGCCAAGCAACCAGAATGTGGTCATGTGATTGCACGGGGGGGGGGGGGGGATGTTGGGACTTTGAAACCCAGAGTGTATGTAGTTTTTGGGTGGGGCCCACTGTAACTTTGAATGGTCATTAAGCAATCGGTCGTAAGTGGAGGAGTATCTGTAGTTTCATCTACCGCTTCTTTGCCATTTGAACAAACATTCGTAATCATTCGTAAATATCTAAAAGCATCTTGCTATTAAGGGTGGAAAGATCAGCTTGATAGCACATAATCAATCAATGGTTTTGACTCTAGGTAGCATTATTCTAAGTGAAAAAAGAACCAAAGAATACAAAATTATATAAGCAGAAAAGAAATAGCAAATGTTAAATATATCACTAATCTCGATGCATTGTTTCTGGTACAAACATCCAGGTTTTCAAAACATTTGGAATTCATTGGTTCAATTTAAAAGAAGAGAGAAGCAAAAAATACAGGAAGTCCTTGATTTGTGACCAAAATTGGGACCAGAACTGCCATCACCAAGCAAGGCAATTGTTGAGTTGCACTCAATTTTATGGTCTTTTGTTGTTGTTGTTGTGGTCATTAAGTGAACCATTTAGAAAGCAAACCTGGCTTCCCCCATTAACCTTGTTTGTCAGAAGTTGGCTGGAAAAGTGGCAATCATGTGACCACCAGGTTGCTGTAAACAGTCATAAACAAATGGCAATTGCCAAATGCCAAAATGTTCATATGTGACCATGACAGTCATAAGTGCAAGAACTAGTTGAAAATACCTCTTTTCAAGTTGTAATTTCAAATGAATGGGACTATATGAATGGTTGTAAGTTGAGGATTACTTGTAATGCTACCAAGTGAATGCATGATATATAGAAATGGAGCTATTCCATATTAGAAATGCTAATAGCAATTGCAGTAGCAATAGACTTATATACCGCTTCATGGTGCTTTACAGGCCTCTCTAAGCAGTTTACAGCGTCAGCCTATTGTCCCCAGTAATCTGAGTCCTCATTTTATCAACCTTGGAAGGATGGAAGGCCTGAGTCAACCTTCAGCCGCTCAGGATCGAACTACTGGCAGTGGGCAGAATTTGCCTGCAATGCTGTATACTAACCACTGCACCACCATAGTGTACAAATCACACAACCACATTTGCAATAAATCTCACAGCAGTGATAGCAGGGATTCATGTTATTAATGGAGATAGCTGTTCAGATATGCTGGACTGATTCCCTGCATTAAACTATTTGAAGCATTAATGCTTTGTTTTTACAAGGTTTTAAAATGTTTTTTAATAGAGATAATTTTTAGATACTTATTGTTTTTAGCTTTGTTGTACATTGTCCAGAGTCCCTTGATCAGTCTGTTGTGCAGCTATGTGAACTGGATAAATAAATGAATAAAATAAGTAAACTAAGCTCCAGAATTGCAAAACATCTGTGGCAATTCCCACATTACTATTGTAACTGAAAGGTGAAAGCCCATTCACCTCTGGATCAACTCTTCAGTTGCGTAAACATTTCTTCCTAAGACAGCAAGAAATATTCAAATAAAACAACATAAAGTAATAAGCACGTACAATTCACAGGAAGCACAATTTATGAGGCATCTACAATTCACAGGAAGTCAGAAAGTGGTCAATTTGGGTTTTTAGAGACTTTTCCATATGAAAGATTACCCATTGCAGGACCTGGACACGTCTGTTTTTTTTCATTATAAAATCTACAGAGATCTTACATTGAGCAGTTTTATACTGCTCCACTCAAGCAGTTTAAATATATATGCATATATATATATATCTCCAAAATAATATCTCACTATAAAAGAATCATCAAAAATAATTATACAATCTGCTGAATAGAAATAGTCCTCAGTTTATGCCACAATTGAACCAGAATTTCCACTGCTAATCAAGGCAGTTGTTAAGTGAATTATCATCAATTTTATGACCTTTTTTTTTGCTATGGTTGTTAAGCAGATGACTGCAATTGTTAAGTGAATCATGCAGTTAAATAAATCATGCTGTTAAATAAAACAAACAAACACACCCTATGAAGTTTGCTTGTTGGAAGCCAGCTGGGAAAATTGCAAATGGAGATTACATGACCCACATGACACATTGCAATGACACACCACATGACACATTGCAACTGTCATAAGTACATGCCAGTTGCCAACTGCTCAAATGTTGGTCACTTGACCATGGAGATGTTGCGTCTATCCTAAATGCAAGGAACAGTTGTAAGTCACTTTTTTCAGTGTCACTAAATGAATGGTTATAAGTCAAGGATACCTATAAATCCCATTCTTTATATCCAGGGGAAGCACTTTCACAATGCTGGGCTCGGCACCAAGAAGGATTATCTTACACAGGTATCCCTTCACTTACAACAGTTCATTACAACTGTGAGAGTTCAAAGTTACAATGTCACTGAAAAAAAGTGACCTATGACCATTTTTCACACTTACAACCATTACAGCATCCCCATGATCACGTGATCAAAATTCAGACATTCGGCAACTGACTCATTGTTATGACAGGGTTGATATGATCAACTTTTGGGACGTTCTGACCAGCAAAGTCAACGGGAAAGCCAGTTTCACTTAAAAACCATGATACAGATTTACCAACCGCAGTGATTAAGTAAGTCACTTAACAAATTCTTCGCTTAGAAATAGAAATGTTGGGCTCAGCTGTGGTTGTAAGTTGAGGACCACCTGTACGCCAGGATTTTCCACCTGGATTCCACAGAATTTGGATTCCACAAGAACATTAAAACATAGGGTTCCAAGAGACAAAAAGGGAGAAAATTGTTCGAATGCAGCCAATTTTTCATCTTTTGAGCCAATTTTCTATCTTTTCTTACCTCTTGTTCAGATATTTTGATAATTTTTTTTTAAACTATCAATTTCCATGGCCTGAAAAGTTTGGAAACTCATGTTGCAGTCCACATTAGTCTCACCTGACTTGTCAGAGCAGGATCTAAAGCAAGAGGAAGGGCTTGCTAACCTGATCCTGTGCCATACAGGCTTTTACAGGTAGATTTCAAAGGTAGCCCCATTGGGTGGCTTATGCAGGTAATACTTGATTCACAAGCATTCATGACCACTTGAAGTTACAACGGCACTGGGAAAAAAATGACCCATGGCCATTTTTCACACTGATGACCATTGATGCATTCCAGGGGTGGGATTCAATTTTTTTAACAACCGGTTCTGTGGGCGTGGCTTAGTTGGTGGTCGTGGCTTGGTGGTCATGTGACTGGGTGGACATGGCTTGGTGGTCATGTTATTGGCTGGGTGTGGCCAACTCAATATCACTCACATCGAGGCACGCATCTCCTCGCCTGGCCTCTCATGACTGTGGGGAAGCTGCAACAGTCGTAAGTGTGAAAAATGGTCATAAGTCATTTTTTTCAGTGCCATTGTAACTTTGAATGGTCACTCCACACAAGCAAAGTACCAGCAAAGGAGGGGAAAAAACTCCAGAGAAGTTCCAGAGAGAGGAAGTCTAGTCCTGCCAAGAATGTAATAAGGGTTAACGGAGAGACAGTTTCTGTAAGCAACACCAGAATGTTTCCTTCCTGCCTTCCTTACAGGATTAGGCCAATAATTTCTTCTAACAACCGGTTCTCCGAACTGCTTAGAATGTTAACAACCGGTTCTAGAGAATAGGTGCAAACTGGTAGAATCCCACACCCCATGGTCATGCCATCAGATTTGGATGCTTGGCAACTGGCATGTATTTAGGATAGTTGTGGTGTCCCAAGGACATTTAATCCCCTTCTGAAAAGCAAAGTCAGTGGGGAAGACAGATTTCTTAACAACTGTGTTACTAACTCAACAACTGCACAGATTCGCTTAGCAACTGTGGCAAGGAAGGTTGTAAGATGGAGCAAAACTCACTTAACAACTGACTTCTTGCCCAGAAATGGAAATTTTGGACTCAGTTGTGGTTGTGAGGCTGCCTGTATTCACCAATCGTAGCCACATGGGGCTTTTTAAATAAGCCAGGCTTAAATAAATCATAATTAAATATGCAGCCTCTATACTAGTGGTAGTCAACCTGGTCCCTACCACCCACTATTGGGCGTTCCAGCTTTCATGGTGGGTGGTAGGGGTTTTGTCCCCTGC